ACACATTGATCGGTTGCCTCTGGCATGCACCCTGACCAGGGCCGGGGAAGGAGCCTGCAACTGAGGTACGTGCCCTTGACTGGAATCGTACCTGGGACCCTTCCGTCTGCAGGCCAATGCTCTACCCACTGAGCCAAACCCTCTAGGGCTGATATTTATTTTACATGATTACTATCCAAAATGTTGCAGACTTATTATAAAATTAATTATCTGGTCCTTACCAGATGCTTAGGATGGTTGTATTTCAGTTTCTTCAGAAAGGTCTCAGACCCCTGTATTTAAAATGTTACTTTATGAAAGTACTTTATTTATTTATTTTTTAAAAAAATACATATTTTTATTGATTTCAGAGAGGAAGGCAGAAGGAGAGAGAGAGATAGAAACATCAGTGATGAGAGAGGATCATTGATTGGCTGCCTCCTGCAAGTCTCACACTGGGGATTGAGCCTGCAATCTGGGCATGTGCCCTGACAGAGAATCAAACTGCTACCTTCTGGTTCATAGGGCCATGCTCAACCACTGAGCCACGCCGGCTGGGCTTATGAAAGTATTTTAAAAGTTGCTAGATGTTTTCTAGACTTACACTTCTGATATGAAACTAGTTTAGTCTGTCAGTTCTGGTTCACTGCTTTCAACTAGGGAGAAAGAAATAGCTATTCCACATGGAGTAATGTAACTAGAACCGTGGTCGGCAAACCTTGGCTTGTGAGCCACATGCAGCTCTTTGGCCCCTTCAGTGTGGCTCTTCCACAAAATACCACGTGCGGGCACGCATGTACAGTGCGATTGAAACTTCGTGGCCCATGCGCAGAAGAGCCGGTATTTTGTAGAAGAGCCACACTGAAGGGGCCAAAGAGCCACATGTGGCTCGCGATCCGTGGTTTGCCGAGCCAAGGTTTGCCGACCACTGAACTAGAATAAAAGAACGTGGGATTAGAATATCACTTAGTTCATCCCTTTATTGCCAGCCAAGATTGCATTTCCCTAGTGTTCTTTAAAAAAAATAAAATAAAATATATGTATATATATAAAATTTTAAATATATATATTTTTATTATTTCAGGGAGGAAGGGAGAGGGAGAGAAAGATAGAAACATCAATGATGAGAGAGAACCATTGATTTGCTGCCTCCTGCACAACCCTTACTGGGCATCGAGCCTACAACCCAGGCATGTGCCCTGACCAGGAATGGAAGCATGTGGCCTCCTGTTTCATGGGTCGACGCTCAGCCACTGAGCCACACTGACAGGGCTAACTAGCATTCTTGATAATGCTTTCTGTTAGAAAATTCTGTTTTTTACTGTTACTTAATCTAATGTAATGTTTCAAATTAACAACAGCATAACATTAGCATAAACAATAGCAATCTATTCAACTGACACTGCTTACCCATGGAACTTAAAGTACTTCATGTTATACATATTCACAGTCTCTCAAGATTGGTAGGTGAATGTAGATGATTGTTACCTGTTTATAAATGAAGGAGCACAGAGGCACAAGATTAGTCGACTTGCCTGCAGCAGAGATTATTTGCATTTCACCCACAATCCTTTTGTCTTTTTCAATGGCCTTAGGCACATGGCTAGGCTAGGCTTCATATCCCAAGATACTTTCAGTTATTTTACCAAACTGAAGAGTTCACCCGCCTGCACACACAAACCCAAAGCAAAGCAAGAGCAGGAGTTTACCGTGGAGAAAAGAATTTGTTTATTAGGATTGGTGCCAATCTGGAGGATAGGTGAGTTTGTGCTCCAAAATATTCAACTCCCCAATGGCTTAGGCAAGAGGCTTTATAGAGCAAAAATCATAAGTCATCATGAGTAAGAGGTTTTGGGCAATAAATAGTGATTTCACATCTATTTCCCCCCCTCAGGTCTCTTTGCTTGTTTTCTTTTTGTTTTTGTTGTTTTTCCTCAGGTCTTTAAAAAAATTTTTTTTAATGGAAAATTAAAAAAAATATATTTTTTTATTGATTTCAGAGAGGAAGGGAGAAGGAGAGAGATAGAAACATCAATGATGAGAGAGAATCATTGATCATCTGCCTCCTGCACGCCCCCCACTGGAGATTGAGCCTGCAACCCAGGCATGTGCCCTTGGCTGGAATCAAACCTGGGACCCTTCAGTCTATAGGCTGACACTCTATCCACTGAACTAAACCAGCTAGGGCAAATTTATTTATTTATTTATTCTTTTTAAAGAGAGAAGAAGGAGGGAAGGTGGGGAGAGAGAGATGGGAGTGGGGGCAGAGGAACAGGGAAACATTGACTTGTTCCACTTATTTATGCATTCATTGGTTGATTCTTGTATGTGCCCTGACCAGGGATTAAATTTATGACCTTGGGCCATAGGGACAACACTCTAACCAGCTGTGCTGCCTGGCCATGGTCATGATTTCAGGTCTTTAGGTCAGCTTTAGAGTAATCGGGATGTGGTCAGGAGCTGCTCGAGGGCTCAAGAGCTGAAACACAGTTTAGGGCATGATGCTATTTTTAGCTTAAGGAAACCCATACCTTGTGACCATTAGTTATGACCTGGCCATGTTTCTTGCTGCCTCTGTGAGTCACAAATGTAAGGGAAAGGTCTGGGGCATGCTGTGAAGAAATTGAATTGAGTGCTGTGGCTACATGTTAAATCAAAATCATACATTAAATCAGGACCCTGGGTTTCAGTTAGGTATGGCTCTACACTTCACTTCTGGCCAGTGGAATGTTATTAGAAATGCTATGCGCTTTCTCCAGGCCAAGGTTTAAAGGAGTCCTTTGCTCCTGCACATTCTTTCACCCCTTTGTTGCTGGATGCAGGCAACTGTGAGGCCACGAGGATTGGCAGTCACAGGATGGAAAGCCCTGGGACCCTGAATCACCACATGGAGGAGAGCTGCCTGCTGACAAGGGTGTGCTTCTCAGACTATCATGTGAATGATAGGTGGACTCTGTTGGGTTTAAAGCAGTGGTTCTCAACCTTCCTAATGCTGCGACCCTTTAATACAGTTCCTCATGTTGTGGTGACCCCCAATTTCATTGTTACAAATTGAACTCTATTAAAGCATAGTGATTAATCACAAAAACAATACTTAATTATATATGTGTTTTCCGATGGTCTTAGGTGACCCCTGTGAAAGGGTCATTCGACCCCCAAAGGGGTCGCAACCCACAGGTTGAGCACCGCTGGTTTAAAGGATTATGTGCTTTGGAGTCGTTCTGTTGCCTCAGTCCAGCCTATTTTAACTAATTACACTGCTGCAGGTTATTTACTAGTAGAAAGTCAGCAATAAACCTTCCGTCTTCTGAAGTAGAATTAAAATTAGGCCAGTGATTTACCAGAACACTGCTTAGTGCTTTGACAATAAGTCAAGATTTTAAAAGAACTCCAGCCAGAGCTCTGCATTTACAATCAGTTATAATCACAAATTTGCAGAGTCACAAAATGGCTGAAGACCAAAAATATTTTTGCCTATACCATTAGGTGATTGATTTTGTAATTGCATCATGAAGTAACCTACTGAGCCAAGGAGGGAGGCTGTCATTTACAATGTGCTTCTCCCTGAGCTTTTCCACAGATATTCTCAGACCTCTTTGAATGTGCCTTCCTTTTACCCTCCGGCATATTATAACACAAGTATTTCTTAAGCCAACACAATAACAAGAGTGTGAGTAAACTGAGTCAACTCTCTGAAACCTGAAAGCTTCTTTGTTGACTCTTCAGATTAATATGAAAACCTAAGAAGTACTGATAACCTATAGACTTTTTCTGTTAGTGGATTATTTTTTTTTAAAATATATTTTTATTGATTTTTTACAGAGAGGAAGGGAGAGAGATAGAGAGTTAGAAACATCGATGAGAGAGAAACATCGATCAGCTGTCTCTTGCACACCCCCTACTGGGGACGTGCCTGCAACCAAGGCACATGGCCCTGACCGGAATCGAACCTGGGACCCTTCAGACTGCAGGCCGACTCTCTATCCATTGAGCCAAACCGGCCAGGGCAGTGGATTCTTTTCTGTATCTTTCCAGTTTCAGTTCTGGGTTGCTTCTAGTCTTATCATTATATCCATTTACTAATACTCATTTATCTGGCAAAATTAACATAATTTTACATCATAATGCATTTAATTCATTTAATGAGTTTTAGCTATCTTGAATCTGAAATTTAATTGTTCACTGGTTAGGGCATATTAATAAGTTGTTGACCTCCAATGGATTGAATTTACACAAAAATACCCTTAAGAATGAATTATTTATTGCCATTGTAACCTTCCACTTGAGATACAACCAGTGTTACATACTTAAAGGGTTTAATGCTTTTTGTTTTTGTTTGTTTGTTTACATATTATCTTAATTTGGGCCTTCAACTTGTGATCTATTTAAGGCAAAACTGACATTAAATTAATAAAACTCATCATATGACCTGTGGAATAATAAACATGGTCCAGTTATAGTTTATGTTATTTTGGTAAACTTAAATTCATTTATCTTGAAGGCTCACATATTAGAAATACTATTTTCCCGACTCAATTGTACATATAACATAGAAATTGATGTAAAAGAGGATACATTAAAGATCACTCTGAATTACTGAAACGCTATAATTTAATGGAGATTAACTGTCACAATATGAAAAGGCATTCACTCATCTGTATATTGCCTATAGCCTTGAATTTAAGGAATATTACCTGCTCTCGACTTTGAAGGAGAAGCTCAATATTCATTATATAAAGAGAGGTTATAAATTACACTTTGCCATTAAAAATCATTAACTCAAAAGATAATAGAATAACCAATTTCACAATAAAATTACTGCCACTGCTGTGATAAAAGAGCTTGGCCTAGGTCAGGAGCGGTTCTTTCTACCGTTGCTCAAGAACACTAGAAGGATTAAAAATTTATGGATTGCCTCCTAGAAACAATGATCGGGTACAGAAATGTAATAAAATACCCACTCTCCTGTGTCTTCCCAAGCTGCCCTGTGCCATTTCATTTTATGATTCTATTAGTGTGACAACTTTCCAAAGCTCTAGAAACTGTCTTTTGGCGAAGATGAAGATTTTCAAGCCAGAAGATTTTTCATTGAAAATCCAGAGGCAGATGGCGTAGAAAGGTAATGCTAGAATGTGAACCAAATAGAATTTCATTTTGTATATTTTATATATTTGTGATTTTATCTTACTTAGATTGCTGGTAAGTTCAAGCAAAAAAAAAGTAAAATAAAAAGATAGTATTATTAAAAAATGTCATGCAATATAAATGTTTTTCCTGGTAAAATTATATGAAAAATACGATGCATTTTTTTCCTTTTTTTAACGATACAGTTACTTTTATGTGAAATCTTACAGCAGCAAAAGCTGGCAAAGTTACTATATCTAGTTTTGAAAAGGTACTTGTGTCTTGAACATTTCAGACAGTTCTAAGTTTTTGGTGTTGTTTGTTTAGAGTATTTTAACGCCCGGTGTGTTTATATAATAATCAACACTGGAAAATAATCTCAGGGGGGTAGTTGGTGACAGATGTAACTTACTTCTAAGGAATTTGGGGGAAATTGGGTCTTTTTACTTGTAAATGTCTAACAATCATGTATTTCCTAAGTATTGATGGATGCTTTCATAGAGAAAGGTGTTAGTTTTCTTTCAGTGACCCCTTTCCTATCTTTGTTTTTTCCATTGATGGCTTTTTATTCTTCAATAATGAAACACCTGAGAATATACACAGTTTCAAACTTTCCATTTATCTGTTTTTGAGCTAAATTGCCTGTGGTTTAGTAAAGGTAATGGAAATATGATTACCCAGGTGAAACATTACCAGACGGGCATTTTCTGCTTCCTACAGTTTCTTGCACTTAAAGTAATGTACTGAAAACTGAGGCTTGGGAGGAAAGAATGCCCGTCCTCAGCCTATGTAATAGAATATTTGTGAATAAACATCTCAAATTCTTTAGTCAGTGAATCCCTGAGGATTTCAGTACATCATCTGTAGAAAGCAGCCAGGAGACCTGTTGAAAGGCATATCATACCAAAGAAATGAGCCATGCAGCTTGCACTTGCTAGAAATACATCAACTGAACCCAACTAATGGGTCATCTTAATGTCATATTTCGGTGTGTCTTCACAGAATAAGCAAGAAGTCTTTTCTTTCCCTTGAAGAAGTTGACTGGTTTTTAAAGTTCTGAATAGTATAGATCTTTCCTGATGTGAGCTAGAAAGATCTTTTTCAAAGGTATCATTGACCATTAAAAAAGGAGCAGTTTTTTGGATTTTCGTCTTGGAGGCTGGTAGTGCAAAATAGGTTTCAGAGGCAAAGCCAATGAGTTTGTCATTCTTCTTAAGTCTGGCAGGGGGTAAATGTATTAACATTGGGAAACAAACGAGAACTAACCTTTTATGAAAATATGCATTAGGCCCTCATCTATCAGACATATCATTTCATTAGAACTATTCTTTTTAGAGTTATTAATAGTGCATGTGACTGAGCAGAACAAAGCAAACTGCTGACCGTGCAGTCTCATGGTGTGGCCCTCCTGCTTTATGATCACCTATTCTTTGAGATGCAGATTGGGAGAAAACAGCATTTTAAAAGCCCAAGAATACACAGACTCGACTTTCTTTTGACCAACTACCCAGCTTTTGAATCTAGTTTTATTGAAAACCATCGCCATCAGATGTATGCGTACTAAAATACTTTACTTTTCACTTAAACTGAAAGGATAAACAACAATCCTTTGAGACTCAATAGTATTTCTTTCAATAAATATTTAGGCAGTTCAATTTTGCATAGAATTAATTACGCAAAGAATCTTGACTGGACAGTTTCAGGATAAGAACATTGGAAAACTACATTGGAACACTGTTAGGACAAAGCTCCACACTTCTGGCACTTTGAGTTTTTAATATCTTCCTTGGTATAGGGGAGGAAAAAGTTTTCCTTAACCCTTATGTTTGTGGCTGGTCTGAACATTCAACTGACAAAGATTAACAAGAGAAAAGCATGCAACTTCGTTTAATATAAGTTTTACATGACACAAGACCCTTTGTAAGGAAATTAAGACCCAAATAAATGGTTAAACCTGAGTGTATCTATGATAGGCTTGATGAAGAATGGGAAGTCAAGGAAAGGTAGGATAGGACGAAGAGTATAAGCTAAGTGTAGTCAATTGGGGAAACTCGGGAAGGATGCTCCTTTCCTCTGGCTAGAGAAAAGGCACCTCTCATATGAAGGTTTTATGACTGGCTTCAGGGAAGGTCTGAAAGTCTTTTCTGCACATGACAACTTGAAACATTAAACATGCCAAGGTGCCATATTTTGGTAGCATGTTCTGAGCCCCATCACTGCCATGGAACTAATTGTCGCTTACATTGAATATTCATACATATTATTTCCTTTAATATTCAACCCAGGACAGAGCAAGGATGTTTATCCTTGTTTCATTTGGGGGGAAATGGGTGCTGCAATAAACCAAGTGACAGAACCTGCCTCTGTATAGGTAGAGCCAGTACCCATCACCACAGTGTTCATCCACAAGACCTCCCTGCCTCACTCTCCTGGGACTCATCTGGGATCTCAGCCCTTTGGCATGCAAGGAATCACTGATAAGTAAATGTTAATGTACCAGTGGTAACCCAGGTAATATGCACTTTACCTGAGCTATGTCACTGGCAGCTTACACGGTGGATGTTTTAGGAAGATAGGAAAGATAGTTTGGTTTTTTTTTAGGTTGCTTTTATTATCATTATTTCTTTTTTTTTTTTTATTAGTTAAGGTATTACAAATGTGTCCTCATCCCCCCCATTAACCCCCAACCTCCCCCCCCCCCCCCGCCCCGCACACTCATGCTCCCATCCCCCTGTTGTCCATGTCCATTGGTTTGGCTTATATACATGTATACAAGTCCTTCGGTTGATCTCTTCCCCTTACCCCCGCCCTCCCCTACAGGAAAGATAGTTTTATCCTAGTAAGACGATGGGGCTGGGTTGTGAAGGAAGGAAAAATAAAAATGTTGGTGCCCATAACATTTTGGGGAGCATTTTTGCAAGCCGCTCATGCTTGGCTTACCTCTTAATTTTGTGACTGAGCTTTCTCTTTCTGGAGCTGGCTGCAGGCTTCCTTGTCTCTCACTCCTTCCCTGCTGAACAGCTCAGTACATTCACTCCCACAGGCCTGGACTTAGGAAGATGTTTCTGGCTCTCCCTCCTTCTCTTCAGTTGGGGCAAATAAGGCCAAGATGCTTGGGTGCTATGATGCTTTCAGGGGCTGGTGGCTGGTGATATAATCTGTGGAATGTCCAGGATCTTTACTTTAAAAAAATTTTTTTAAATGAGATATAATTGGCATATAACATTATATTAGTTTCAGATGTGTGACATAATGATTTCATATCTATATCAATAAAAGGGTAATATGCTAATTGTTTTCTGGACGTCCTTCTGGACCAAGCCACAGCGGCTGTGAGGGCCGAGGGCTGGTGGCATAGGAGAGGCAGCGGCATGGGCCAGTCCAGAGCCGCGGCCCCTTTTGCAGAGGCATTGCTGGAGAGGGGGCTGCTCGGTCCTAGTCCCAGTGCTGCCCCTTCTGCAGAGGCAGCCACAGAGGCAGTGGCACGGGCCTACTCCTGGTGCCATGCGTCTGCAGAGGCTGGACGGGATGTGACCTGCTGAGCCTCAACCTCCCACAGCCCCTCCCCCAGCTGGCCTGGCCCCAGATCACCCCCACCAACCAGTGGGCAGGGGGCGGGGCTAGCACTAAGAAGAGAGGGCCAAGGCTGCGGTGGCTGGCAGTGGCAGTAGCAGCGGGGGTGATGGGAGTGGCGCCTTCCCCTGATTGCCCTGGTGGCCTCCTGCAGAGGGAGGCCAGACTTCGGCTTAAGCCTGCTTCCCGCGGGGAGCGAGCCTAAGTCATCAGTAAGACATCCCCTGAGGGCCCCCAGACCGGAATAGGGGGCAGGGTGGGCTGAGGGACTCTCCCCACCCCACCAGTGCATGAATTTTCATGCGCCAGGCCTCTAGTTTGTATATATTGTGAAATGATTTTACAATAAGTCAACATCTATCATACATAGTCACAATTTTACCTTGTGATGAGAACTTTTAAGATTTACTTTCTTAGCAACTTTCAATTATTATAGTCAGGTATTATCTTTTAAGTATTATTAACTATAGTCATAATATTACACATTACATCTCCATGACTAATTTTATACCTGGAAGTTTGTATTCTTTGACCACCTTCACCCATTTCACCCACCTTCCACCAGCTACCTCTGGCAACCACCAATCTGTTCTCTGTATATATCTAAGTTCTTTTTCTTTTCACTTATAAGTGAGATCATATAGTATTTGTCTTTCTCTGCCTTATTTCACTTAAGGGCCTCTAGGTCCACCTATGTTATTACAAATGAAAAGATTTCCTTCTCTTTTATTGCTGAGTAAGATTTCATTTATATGCCATATTTTTTAAATATATTTTTATTGATTTCAGAGAAGAAGGGAGAGGGGGAGAGAGATGAAAACATCAGTGATGAAAGAGAATCATTGATTGGCTGCCTCCTGCACACTCCACAATGGGGATTGAGCCTGCAACCTGGGCATGTGCCCTTGACTGGAATTGAACCTGGGACACTTCAGTCCACAGGCCAATGCTCTATCCACTGAGCCAAACCAGCTAGGGCTATATTACCGTATTTTCTTTATCCATTCATCCACTGATAGATACTTAGGTTGCTTCCTTCACTTTTTTTTTCTTAGCATTTTTCTGCTCATACAAATTTCCATTAGGTTATTAGAAGTTGGGGATGGAAGTTAGAAGAGGGGAAACTAGCAACCTAAAGCAATTCATGGTAGTTAGCTAGGGCTGAGTTCCAGATGGAGGCACTCAGAGAAACCATTATGAGAGGCAGGACTGGATTGATCCTTCATGATAGATAGGGTTAGGATAGGCTGAGATGTTAGGTGACGATGCCAAATCCTTTCTCTATCTGTATGTTTTTGTGTGTTAATCCTCATCTGAGGATATTTTTCCATTGATTTTTAGAGAGAGTAGGAGAGAGGAGGAAAGACGCAGAGAGAGAAACATCAATGTGAGAAAGATGTGCTCTGACCAGAACTGAATACT